TGCATCCTATTGAACCATAATTAGTGGTCCCAATTTTACGAGGAAATAATTGCGCCGCCAAAAATTAACGACATAAGTTTCCTCGAAATCAGATGAATTAATTCTATATTAATTACCAAATTACTGTATTAATATATATCAACGTATAATGATGATGACGTCACTACAAAACACAGCAAGAACGTTAAACAAAAAGAAAGTAGACTGTGCTCCGAACTTGAGAACAGCGATATACATACATACGTACGTACACATATATGTAATTGTCGCGTCGATCCCGCCACCAGCAGGTGTTCGAACCGATCCAACAAACGCATAACGCACACGTTTGTAACGGTCACCGTAAAAATTTGGTTAGCTATTTCAATTTGCACTTCGTATATCGTCCGGTAATAAAAATCGATTCTAACCGAGTTACAGGAAATATGAACCAACTGGCTGTTCCCAGAAATTCAATTGAGCCGAGCAATCGTAATAGGGTCACAATATATCGACGCCGAATTTTTGGCAGTTCGACCCCCGTGAATCGATCCTCGAAACGATCTTGCTCGTTCTTGTCGACCTGATAAAACGATTATTATATAGATTTAGGTATTATGTAGATATTATATAGATATATACAGATCTATAGATATATAGATATATGGATATATAGACTATTATAGACATTACATTACATACAGATTATTATAGATATTACATTATAGAAAAATAAATTGAGGTGTCCCAAAATGTCTCGCAATCCGAAAGTGGCGGATTCCTCAGGTCATTCGAAGCAACTTTCTCCTTTACAAAAATTTTCTCCGAGGCACCGTTAACGAGTTATTAACGAAAAACAGTGACCAATGAGAGGAGAGCTCGGCTGGCGCGAGGCGACCGAGTCAATGAGCGGAACTGGGCTTCGTGAGCTGGTTGGCTGGGCCGCCTCGCGTCAGCCGTACTCGATTCTTATTGGTCACTGTTTTCTGTTAATAACTCGTTAACGGTGCCCCGGAGAAAATTTTTGTAAAGGAAAAAGTTGCTTTAAATGACCTGAGGAACCCGCCACTTTCGGATTACGAGACATTTTTGCGATACCCTGTATATACTGTATTATAAACATTACACTTGCAATCTCGATTTGACACACGAGCTATAAGCGTCTCGGGAATGAGAAGAAACGCGAATTAATTTGCAAGATTACTTTCTCGACGAGAATCACAAGAGTTAAGGAGGCAAAAAATTCTTCGGGCCGGGATTCGTTACAAATCCGCGAAGTTCCGAAGAAATTGGAATTGTCGGATTACCGAAGTTCCCTTGTTAGCCGGAACGGATTATCCGGACCTATCAGCGAGGCCGGACCGTAATTGACGTGGACCGAACCGGCGCGCCAGTTCGCGGCGGTCCTCTTCTTCAACGTTCGCGGACCGGGACGCGGGCGGCGGTCTACCGGGCGAATAAAAATATTTCCTAAAAATAGACGCGGCCGTATCGGGGACTGGGTTTATCGGCATCAACGGACGACGGGAGCCCTTTAAACCGAAAAACGGCGAACGCTGTGTAAGCGCATATGAAATGAGGAGTNGCAACTTTCTCCTTTACAAAAATTTTCTCCGAGGCACCGTTAACGAGTTATTAACGAAAAACAGTGACCAATGAGAGGAGAGCTCGGCTGGCGCGAGGCGACCGAGTCAATGAGCGGAACTGGGCTTCGTGAGCTGGTTGGCTGGGCCGCCTCGCGTCAGCCGTACTCGATTCTTATTGGTCACTGTTTTCTGTTAATAACTCGTTAACGGTGCCCCGGAGAAAATTTTTGTAAAGGAAAAAGTTGCTTTAAATGACCTGAGGAACCCGCCACTTTCGGATTACGAGACATTTTTGCGATACCCTGTATATACTGTATTATAAACATTACACTTGCAATCTCGATTTGACACACGAGCTATAAGCGTCTCGGGAATGAGAAGAAACGCGAATTAATTTGCAAGATTACTTTCTCGACGAGAATCACAAGAGTTAAGGAGGCAAAAAATTCTTCGGGCCGGGATTCGTTACAAATCCGCGAAGTTCCGAAGAAATTGGAATTGTCGGATTACCGAAGTTCCCTTGTTAGCCGGAACGGATTATCCGGACCTATCAGCGAGGCCGGACCGTAATTGACGTGGACCGAACCGGCGCGCCAGTTCGCGGCGGTCCTCTTCTTCAACGTTCGCGGACCGGGACGCGGGCGGCGGTCTACCGGGCGAATAAAAATATTTCCTAAAAATAGACGCGGCCGTATCGGGGACTGGGTTTATCGGCATCAACGGACGACGGGAGCCCTTTAAACCGAAAAACGGCGAACGCTGTGTAAGCGCATATGAAATGAGGAGTAAAAAGACGAAACGTATCGGCTATCCGGAGCATAAAATGGACCGGTTTCTTTCGACTCGCCGCCGACCTCTTTTCCACGGGATCCTCTAATCTTTTAGAACCGCGCCGCGCGGATGTGGCGTAGCCAGCCCTCGGGGCGGATACTTCCAGCCCCTTTCTCGTTTCTTCGGCTAATACACGTCGAAGGGGGTCGAAGACGGTTATAGGTCGTGGTCCTGGTCCTACCTCGAACCTGTAGGATTACCAGTGTGCAGCCTAATCAGCCAGATTGCCTGCAATTTGCCGACCTTATCTCGCTACATTCTGCGGCTCTCTTCTGTTCTTCCGGCTTCCACGGACGACAGCCGTTCGCGAACCAACTTACGCGTCCTCCTTTTCCCCACCGGCTTCCTTTCCTACCGGGATTCCACCCCCACAGCCATCCGGTCGAACCGATCCCGAATTTCTCTGATCCAACGACACTCCACTTTAATTCGGCCGCTAGACCGTCTAACACCGCGATTTTTATTAGCTCCGCCGCCGAAAGTAATTCCTGCTTCCCGCCGATTCCACCCCCTCGCGACGTTCGGAACTTGCGATAATTGTGGTCGTGTCGGGTTAATATGTTACAATATTAATATGACATTATTTAAATATGAAAGTGCGATGTATATTCATAATATAATAATATGATAATATGTGTATATTTATATTATATTATGTTCATGTTATATTGTGTTCATATTATATTATGTTCATGTTATATTGTGTTCACATTACATTATATAATATTTATATTATATTATATTCATATTATATTGTGTTCATATTATATTATATTCATATTATTGTGTTCATATATTATATTATATTATATTCATGTTATATTGAGTTCATATTATATTATATATACAATATTTATATTATTTTTATATCCATATCATATTATTTTCAAATTAAATTATATTTATATTATATTACATTTTCATACTTTGTTATATACATATATTCATATTGCTACATTACATTAATTTAAACTCATTATACTTCAGTGCAGTTTCCAAAGACATGTAAGTATAATAATAAAGTCTAATAGTAAAATTAATACTAAAATGTAATAAATAATAGTAATAAACAAATAGTAAAATGAAAAAGGATTGAACAACAAAATTAAAAGAAGAAAAATCTTAATAATCGCATAAGATCGCAACGGAGAATAGCACGCTGGAAAATCGAAGAAATTCGGTTCGATAAAATATCATTCGTACCGTGTTCGCTGCTTCGGGACTCGATGGAACGCGATCGGGCCACGTATTAAGAGCATTCATTTTATTTTCATGTTGCCATGCCGCGTTCGCCGAAACTATTTTGATCCACCGTTTCGCTATTTATTCCCGTATCCTTTTTACGACGGGGCGCGTATCCCGGCCGCGGCTGTTCTGTTACCATTCAATACGAATTTCGGCGTTTGCTAAAAATTCCATTTCGCGTGTTCACAATCGGCCCTCGCTCGGCATTTCATCGAGCGACTCTAACGAAACAGCGGCGGTTAAAGTCCGCGCGGGAACCCCGGGTGCCGGGCGCGTGTTCGCCGCGAAATTAGGCGAATTTTAACAACAAGTCGTGCGGCCGATTGCATTCCCATTGTCCAATTGCCGGGGAACATTTCTCCTCGGTTTGTACTTGGCTCACAGGCGAAACAGGGGATTTCGACGTGGCGCAAGAGTGAAATTGAACGAACCGAATCAGATTTTTCCTTTTTTTTTTCGTTCCCCGCCGCTCCTGGGCCCGGATCCGAGGGAGATCCCGGCGAGATTCGAGCGCACTTAAATTCCTCTCGCAAAACTAACCTTCTAGAGCTCCTCTTCTCTCTTTCTTTCTCTCGCGCACTTTCTCTCTCTCTCTCTCGCTCTCTCTTTCGATTTCTCTTGGATCCTTCTTTTCGCCCTTCATT